CAGATAAGTCATGGAAGATGGGCCTAGGTTCTATAGAAGCAGCAAGGCCAAAATGATGGTTAGAATGGTTTAATCTGATCTTTTATAGTGGCTAATTGACCATCTAAACACAAACCAAACCCATTGCTGTCAAGTCTATTGCAGCTCATAGCAACCCTATTGGACAGAGTAGAACTGCCCCCATAGGGTTTCCAAGGTTGTACTCTTTACAGACTGCTACATCTTTCTTCTGCAGCATAACTGGTGGGAATTCACCATAGGTTCTCCAGATCCAAAACAGGTGGACAGATTATTAATCAGTTCTATTTGTTCTACATAAACTGTGACTAGAGGCCTGGCTTGAGTCCCCACAATAGCCACAGCCTCTTAACTAGTTTTTGAAGCAAAATAAGTTCACAGACCCAGAACCTCGTGAATGAAGGAGAGAGAGCTATCTTTGAGTGTTAGCTTTACAGTAACATTGCAGGTATGTACTTAATTCTTCCTCTTAGCCTCCCCCAAAATGCCCTGTGCCTATTTTCCAGGTCAGCTGTACACTGGATAAAGGGAAATACCCAATCTTTCAGGAATTTTTAGACAATTGCTCTGAAGTAAAGCCAATTACTAGTGACCTTGAAAGCCACTGTGGTTCACTAATATTGGAGGAGCAGGGAGCTTAATGGGAGTCAGGTGGCAAATGGAATTTTGATTTGAATCCATCACATAATAGTAGTCCCAGTGGGTCCACAAATCCGTCCTGGAAATTATAGCCTGATCTTCTAACTGTATAGTTGAAATAGATACAACTAGCAAATGGGAAAAGAGCCAGTTGGCTCTCTGATCTAAGGAATAAAGGCTATTAGGGCAAGAAGAGCCAAGGAAAAGTATCTGACACTCTGCTTTTTTACTAAAATAGAAAATCAAAACCACTGCAGTGTATTTGGGTAAGAGCATAGGTTAGTGCTTCTGTTAAAAGTGGATGAGCAAATTGCTGCATATGACAAATCCTCTCCAATACTTCTATCTCCTTGAATCTTTGGATTCCTTCCTCCTCATTTTACTAATGAATTTCTGGCATCTCAACTTCGTTTGGCATAGACAACCATTTAGTCCAGGTTTCAACCAATTCAGTAAACAATCGAGACCATTCTACCTGCACCAGGTAGTCTTGAAACTGTTGTTGTTGTTGTTATATGCCGTCGGGTCGGCCCCGACTCATAGCGACCCCTCCTTGGGTTTCCGAGGCAGTATCACTACGGAAGTAGGATTGCCCAACCTTCCTTCCGAGG